GTGTGTCCGTGTGTCCGTGTGTCCGTGTGTCCGTGTGTCCGTGTGTCCGTGTGTCCGTGTGTCCGTGTGTCCGTGTGTCCGTGTGTCCGTGTGTCCGGGTGTCCGTGTGTCCGTGTGTCCGTGTGTCCGTGTGTCCGTGTGTCCGTGTGTCGGTGTGTCGGTGTGTCGGTGTGTCGGTGTGTCGGTGTGTCGGTGTGTCTGTGTGGCTGTGTGGCTGTGTGGCTGTGTGGCTGTGTGGCTGTGTGTCTGTGTGTCTGTGTGTCTGTGTGTCTGTGTGTCTGTGTGTCTGTGTGTCTGTGTGTCGGTGTGTCTGTGTGTCTGTGTGTCGGTGTGTCTGTGTGTCGGTGTGTCGGTGTGTCTGTGTGTCTGTGTGTCTGTGTGTCTGTGTGCCTGTGTGACTGTGTGCCTGTGTGCTGTGTGTCTGTGTGCTGTGTGTCTGTGTGCCTGTGTGCCTGTGTGCCTGTGTGCCTGTGTGCCTGTGTGCCTGTGTGCCTGTGTGCCTGTGTGCCTGTGTGCCTGTGTGCCTGTGTGCCTTTGTGCCTGTGTGCCTGTGTGCCTGTGTGCCTGTGTGCCTGTGTGCCTGTGTGCCTGTGTGCCTGTGTGCCTGTGTGCCTGTGTGCCTGTGTGCCTGTGTGCCTGTGTGCCTGTGTGTGTGCCTGTGTGTGTGTCTGTGTGTGTGTGTTTTTGTTCCCATTGTGTGTGTGTTTTTCTTCCCACGGGTTGACTGCACTGCCCGAGGAAGCGACGGCGATGGCGGCCACGACGGGGGGCCACCGCGAGGGCGAGGGCGCCGACGAGCTGGCCGCGCGAGGGCGCGCCGCGCGGCGCCTCGCCGGCGCCACCGCGGCCAGCCCTGGGCACGAGGGCCCCGGCGGCGGGCCGGGTCCAACGAGCCTTAGGTCGGGCAGGTCCTCCTACAGGCTGCTCTGGGACAGAAGATAAGAGAGTCGTTTGCCATGCAAGACAGAAGTACCAGTTTGAAAATAAATAGATACATATTACGTAATACACATTAAAATATAATGTTGGTGACGTTTTTTTCTATATATATATATATACAACAACAACAACAACAACAACAACAACAACAACAACAACAACAACAACAACAACCACAACGACGACGACGACGACGACGACGACGACGACGACGACGACGACAACAACAACAACAACAACAACAACAACAACAACAACAACAACAACAACAACAACAACAACAACAACAACAAGAAGCACAACACATAAAACAGACAACCAAAAAAACAACATTTCAAAACAACAAAATAAGGCAAACAAAAAAACAACCAACAAAAAACAAAACAGAAAACACGTCCAATAATAGTCGGAAGAACAAAACAACAACAAACAAACAAAAACGAAAACGTCCCCATACTATGTTTCCTAGTCTTGAGTAATCCTCCCGCAGAAAAGGACATGCCCGACTTACAGCGAGCGGCCAGGCAGACTGCGGGACGCATCCCCTGCGGAGGGAGGCACACTGGGCGCAGGCGGGCGGGGAGAAGGAAGGCCGCGGAACGGCCGAGGAGCCCTCAAGATCGTGTGGGCCTTCGGGATCTGCCCGGGAGTGGGCTCGCCCCTCCACGAGGCTCGCGGATGCCATGACAGTGGACACTCTAACAATCCTACCATTGCATCAAAGATGTGTTCAGAAGTGCAAAGCATGCCCTAAAAATATCTCAAACCTGTTTTTTACATGCTTGAAACTGTTTCTTTACATGTTTGACGCATTTCTTGGACATCTGGAAAGTATTTCGCAGCATGCTTCCTCTCGATGAATCGACCTCCACAACACGAGGCCACAGCGGAGGTCAGGAAGGCTTCGTCGAGAGGCGCCGCCGCCGCGTCGAGGTGGTGGCGGCCCTGTCGTGGAGAAGCAGCGCGCGCGCGCTTCGGCTGCAGCCCTCCCCGCCCTGGGTTAGGAGTTGGGCTCACCCGGATTATCTTAAGACTCTGGGAGGCCAAAGGAGGCCTGCGTGCGTCAGGCGGGCGCGTGTGGTCGTTGGGCGTGCGTGGGAAGTGTACGCTGGCATCCTATAGACGAATGCTGTTGGGCATGCCTCAACGACTTTAGAGTGGTAGGGTTGGGTAGGGTCGTTTTGGATCTGCCTGAATGAATTTAGAGGGGTAGTGCCTCTTCAGAAATATACATAAATATGAAAATGTACAAGGAAGCAAAATTCGGAAGCAACTTCTGGGACGACGTCTTCGCAAGAGCGCACACTCCGGGCTGTTCAATTGAGCACCCCAGAGACCTCCCAATGGGGTCCGAGTAGATGGGGTCGGAGTATCTCGCCACATCGCCGATGCATCGGCGATGCATCGGCGATGCACCGGCGACGTCGGCGAGGCATCGGCGCCGTCGGCGTGGCGAAAGTCGGGCTCTGCCTCGAACCGCATCGCCGATGCATCGGCGGTGCGGCGCGATCACCCCGTCTACTCTCAGGTCGGGCAAGTTCCCCTACAGGCGGATCTTGGAGGAAAGATTGAAAATAGTCCACAGATGCTCGCAAAAAGCTCAAAAAATAGACCAACAAATCGGCCCCACTGCTGTCTTACTACTTTTGCATACCCCTCCTGTAGAGGGAGACGCCCGACGTAAGTCTGCTCCGACCCCATCTGGGAGGCCCAGGCCGTGCCGCTCCGCCCGACAGCCCGCCCCAGCCCCCGCTCGCGCGCCCGAAACTCACCCCAGAGCGATGTCCGACCCCCGACGGCCCACGAAGGGCAGCCCCTTCTCGCACCCCCCGGGCGATCCACCCACCCCCCCGCTTATCCGCTTGTCCGCCTCCTCCTCCGCCTCCTCCTCCTCCTCGAAGGGCGATCAGGTCCGACTGAAGGGCCACGTCAAGCCAGAGTGCACCAGACCCACAATAAGGCGACCGAACTCTATATACACCGCCGGCACTGTGTGCGGCCCCGCACCGAAACTCGAGCAGGAGAGCGGATGCTGATGCATACGGGATCCTGCTGTATACATGGTTCGTTGTTTCCCTGCGGAAGCGGGGACAAAAAAGTATCCACCACACCACCCCGACGCCATCCCCGACGTCCTCCAAAAGCCCTGGGATTGAAAAGCAGCCCGCCACTGGCAATGTCTCTGTTCCAGCTTCCAAGTAAGGGCTATCAAGTCCGATTGAGGGGCCCACATCAAGCCAACTTAACCCAGACTCATCAATCCCGTTGGATGCTCATTCTGGGAACCTTCCAGGCGACACTCGCTCCGCTCGTGCGTCGAAACTGCCTCGAACGACCGCCGACTTGAGTCGACCCTGAGTCGAACCTGAGTCGAACCTGAGTCGAACCTGAGTCGAACTTGAGTCGAACTCGAGTCAAACTGGGGTCAAACTGGAGTCGAACAGATCCGTTAGATCGGCCCTGGGGAGGTCCCCAAAACGAGCATCGAAATCCCAGGAGCAAGCCGGAGCAGGCCGGACGAAGCGGGATGGGTTGTGCCTCTGATCGACTTGGGACGGCCTTCGACCGCGGCCACCAAGGCGCCGCTGCAGTGTTCTCAGCCTCCCAGGAGCTGCGCCAGAAGCTCTGGCCTCCTCTTCCTCCTCCTCCTCCTCCTCCTCCTCCTCCTCCTCCTCCTCCTCCTCCTCATCCTCCTCCTCCTCCGCCTTTCCGCCTCCGCCTCCGCCTCCGCCTCCGCCTCCGCCTCCGCCCCCGCCTCCGCCTCCGCCTCCGCCTCGCCTCCTCCTCCTCCTCCTCCTCCTCCCTCCTCCTCTCCTCCTCCTCCTCTCCTCCTCCTCACTCCTCCTCCTCCTCTCTCCTCCTCTCCTCCCCCTCCCTCCCCTCCCCCTCCTCCCTCCCTTGCTCCCCTCCTCCTCTCCTCTCCTCCTCCTCCTCCTCCTCTCCTCCGCTCCTCCCTCCTCCTCCTCCTCTCCTCCTCCTCTCCTCTCCCCCTCCTCCTCCTCCTCCTCTTCCTCCCCTCTCCTCCTCTCCTCCCTTCTCCTCCTCCTCCTCCTCCTCTCTCCTCCTCTCCTCCTCCTCCTCTTCCTCCTCCTCCTCCTCCTCCTCCTCTCGGCCCTCCGCCCTCCTCCTCCTCCTCCTCGCCCCCTCCGTTCCTCCTCCTCCTCCTCCTCCTCCTCCTCCTCCTCCTCCTCCTCCTCCTCCTCCTCTCTCCTCCTCCTCCTCCCCTCCTCCTCCTCCTTCTCCTCCTCCTCCTCCTCCCTCCCCTCCCTCCTCCTCCTCCTCCTCCTCCTCCTCCTCTCCTCCTCCTCCCCTCCCCTCTCCTCCTCCTCCTCCTCCTCCTCCTCCGCCTCCTCCTCATCCTCTCCTCCTCCTCCCCTCCTCCTCCTCCCCTCCTCCTCCTCCTCCTCTCCTCCTCCTCCTCCGCCTCCTCTCTTCCTCCTCCTCCTCCTCCTCCTCCTCTCCTCCTCCTCCTCCTCTTCTCCTCCTCTCCTCTCCTCCTCCCCTCCTCTTCTCTTCCTCTCTTCCCCTCCTCCTCCTCACCCCTCATCCTCTCCTTCCCCTGCCTCCCCCTCCTCCTCCTTCCCCTTCTCCTCCTCCTCCTCCTCCGCCTCCTCCCCCTCCTCCTCCCCTCCCGGCCGACCGGGGGCGTCCAGAAGGACCACTTCGGCGGCGGGGGCGTGCGGCAGGCCCGCAGGCAGGCCCGGCAGGCGCCGCCGGAGTGCACGTAGCACTGGTTGCCGGGGTTTTCCTCGGGCCGGGCGAAAGGGGGGAAAAGCAAAAGGGGGGGGGCTTGAGAATCAGCTCACGCAGCTGATTTTCCCGGCGCCTCCCGGCGCCGGGAGGCGCCCCTGCATCGAGGGATGGGCCCGGCGGCGGGGCCGAAACCAGCTGCATGCAGCAGAGTTCGTGGCCCCCCCCTTTCCCCAATCCCCCCCTTTCGTCCGGCCCGATCGCCGTGAAGGAGGAGTACAAGTAGTAGTCCTGGGCACAGGATTGCAAAAAAAAACCTTGGTTCCTTGGTCGAAGGATTGCAAAAAAAACCCTTGGTCGAAGGATTGCAAAAAAAAAACCTTGGTTTTTTTTGCAATCCTTGGTTCAGGCGGGGCGCTGTGCACGCCTGCTGCCCGAGGGGGCCGACGTCCCAGGATGGCCTGGGGGCGGCGAGCGTGCGAGAAAAGACTGGAGCCCGGCGGGGCCTCCTGCTCTCCCGGAAGTTCGCTTCTTTTGGAGAAGCGACAGGCAATGGCCTCGCCGACAGGGCGCCTGCGCTTACGCACATTCGCCATGCGTGCAAAACGCTGACGTGTGAAATCTATAGTTGTTGGGGTGGGGGTCGGTTTCCCACTGTTCACTCAAGGGGGTGTCTTTGTCCTTGGCAGCGACACGCAGAAACAGGCAGCAGAAAACAAATATAGCCGACCAGCCTCGTGCTGGATGTATTCCAGAAATTCGGGACCAGAGAGGTGCCGCAAGGCTTCCCCACGGAGCCCCTGGCTGACCACGTCCTGCGGCCGCCGCCGACGCGAGCGCCCTCCCCTCCCTCCACAATTACTCAATATGAATACTACTCTCGTCCTTCCCCTTATGACGGGTTGGGAGTGTTCGACCCCCCCCCCGCGTATTTTTTTTTACAAACAAAATTCCCCGGAGCTGGGTTTTCGCCTGCATTTGTTTCAAAATGCTGCTCTCGCTGAGGCGCTGGCCTCATTTTCGGGCCCCGCTCGTTCCGAATCGTGTTCCCGCTGCAGCGCTGGCCTCATTTCCGTGTTTCCGCTCGTTCCGAATCGTGTTCCCGCTGCAGCGGTGGCCTCATTTCCGCGTTTCCGTTCGTTCCGAATCGTGCTCCCGCTGCAGCACTGGCGTCATTTCCTGTGCCATGCCACGGCATGCAATGCAATGCTAGGTTGCGTTCCGCTGCGCGATGCCACTCCTTCAGCTGAAGCTGTGATATGCAGTGTTTAAGTGCCACGTCGTGCTCTGCCATGTTACGCTTTGATCTTCAACGCCATGCTATGCAATGTTATGTTCGGGGCCGCTGTGCGATGCCATGCGTTGTGTTGCGAAGCTTTGTGATGCAAGTCTTCACTACGCCACGCCACGCCATGCTGTGACATACTACGTTTTGCGGTACTCTTCTACGCCATGCCACGCCGTGCTCTACAATGCATCGCGTACCCTTTCGGGATCATTGCCCTGCTCGACATCCGACTGTGCGAGTAGAGAGGGGATCTGCGCCATGGTAAGGGATGGGAGGGAGGGGTAGGATGTCAGATATGACGCGAGCGCACCTAGCTTGCCCCTCCCCTCCTCCCCTCCCTCCCCTCCCTCCCTCCCTCCCTCCCTCCTCCCTCCTCCCCCCCTCCCTCTACAATTACTCAATATGAAAATACTTTCCCTCTTCCCCTGATGGCGTCCGGGTGATGGCCGCGCATTCTCCGCGTACTGTTTTTTTACACACAGGATGCCCGGGAAATCCCGGGAAACGACTCTCACTGAGGCGCCGGCGTCATTTTCGGGCCGAACGCCCCCGCGTACTGTTTTTTTACACACAGGATTCCAGGGAAACGGGTTTTCGCCTGCGTTTTTTTTAATGATGCTCTCGCTGAGGCGCCGGCCTCATTTCTGCTCCCGAATCGTTCCGAATCGTGCTCCCGCTGCAGCGTGGGCCTCATTTTCGGATCGGTGTTTGGCCTCCGTCGTTCAGGATGGCGTTCTCGCCCCAGCGCGGGCCTCTTTCTCGCGCGCCCATCCGCCCGCCACCACCGCGCCGCACCACCACCACCACCACCACCACCACCACCACCATCACACCACCACCAGCACCAGCACCACCACCAGCACAGCACCAGCACCAGCACCAGCACCACCACCACCACCAGCACCACCACCACCACCACCACCACCACAACACGCACACGCACGCACGCACGCACGCACGCACGTGCACCACCACCCACTACGCACGCGCGCGCGGAGCCACAGGTCCGCTACGACACGCGTCCGCGGATAGAGAAAATCAGCGCCATGGTAAGGGACGGGAGGGAAGGGTAGGACGTCAGATATGACGCGAGCGCACCTAGCTTGCCTCCCTCCCCTCCCTCCCCTCCCTCCCCTCCCTCCCCTCCCTGGACTGGCGAGCCTCCCCCAACGCTGCCCCTGATCTTCCTCCCGAGGTCCAGCGGCAGCGCGCCGCTCCCCGCGGCGTCAGGGCCGGCTGGGCCCCACGTGGTCGCGGCGATCGCGTGCCCGAGCCACATCGCCAGGAGCCCCAGCTGCGAGTCGCCCCACCACAGGCCCGACAGCCACGGCCCGGTGCCCAGCGAGCTCACGACCTGCCTGGGAGGGGGGTGGGCGCCAGAGGCCGGCAACGGCGAGAGGTTTCCGCCCCGATGGTCTTTTGTCCATCTGCTATGAAGGGGCCCGGGGACACGCAAATAAACATACACCAAATAGCAGGATCCCCCAATATTTTCCCATATTTCCTGGGTGATTTTTTTGTCTTCCCCCCCACTTCCCATATCTCCCCGTATGTTCTGGGGAGTCGACGATCAACTGTGTCTGCGTGTGCTTCCCCCTCCTGCGCTAGAGGTCTGGGGGAGAGCAGGGGCTTGACTGGCGGGCGCCGGTGGCGGGGACGCCCGCCTGCCTGAGCACGTCGCGGATCCCCGGCGAGTACGAGGTGAGCGCCGTGGAGGCGTACCTCGAGGAACAAAGCGACACATTGGAGGCCTGGAAATCGGCACCAACACCAGCACAAGGGTTTGCCTCCACAGGGAGATGATGATCTTAGATTTCGGTGTTGGTGGTAATATTTCGGTCACCTTGGAAGCCAGAATATTACCACCATCACCGAGATCGGGATCGTCTTCCCTCGGTGGAGGCACACCGCCGATCTTGGTGTTGGTGTCAATCTCTAGGACTCCGAACACAAGCGTGGTCTCCCAGGAGTCCGCGCGGATTCCGTGGGTCGGCGCTGGACCCCCTCCCTGGCGCGCGGAGCGCGCCCGGCGCGACGCTGCAGGCGCCGCCAGGGGGGCCCCCGCGCCGATCCCAAAAGTCGGCGAGAACCGCCGAGAACTTGTGCTCATGCCAAATTTGGGGCTCGTCGAGTACCAGGCCCTGACCTGTTTCTCGAACGCGTAGCCGCTGGACCCGTCCACGGCCCGCTGCCGGGGAAGCGCGTTGTGCCTGGCGGCCTGCGTGGCCTTTCCCCGGTCGAAGGACTTGTTGTCCTCCAGCTCGTAGTCCTTCGCGGACGACGCGCCCAGCTCTCCGACGGGCTGATTATTCAAGATGACGCTCTCTGGCTACTGGCAAGCCCGCCCCCTCGGTTCGAACTGGGGGGGGGGTCAGAGCCCCCCCCTCCCCGGTTCAGGCCGGGGGGGGGGACACCCCCACCCCTCCCCTCCCAGGTCTGGGCCGGGAAGGGCGAGGGAAGGGGAGGGGTTTCCATTACAGTTGGACGCTGACCTAGCAAGGCTCTATCAGAGCTGGATTCTACCCTTGCAGGAATCTAATACAGCCGGACCGAGCCGCACTACAATTGCATCAAGGCTGGATCGAAGCCCTACAAGATTCCAGTAGAGCTGCATACAGACCATAGTAGGATCACGGTACAATCGGATCGAGAACCAGACGGATCCTATTAGAGCTGGGTCCAGACCATAGTAGAATCAAGCCCGAATAGCATTTATGTGAGAATAGCCCGAATAGCATTCTAGAAGGTTGGATCAAGCCCGAATAGCATACTAGACGGCTGGACCAAGCCCGAATAGCACTCCGTGAGAATTCGATCCAGCCCTACTAGCAGCATTGGACTCGAGCTGGGCCGCGCCTCCGCAGAATTCCCTGAAATCTGGATCCAGCCCTGCTGGGGCTTTCAGGGCTGGGTCGAGCCCGTGTAGGATTATGTATGAGATTGTTCGTGTTCGACGTCATCGTTATCAGCATCAGCATCAGCATCGTCATCATCAGCGTCTTGATCAGCATCGTCAGCAGCCGCATCAGCATCAGCATCAGCATCAGCATCAGCATCAGCATCAGCATCATCATCATCATCATCATCATCATCATCATCATCATCATCATCATCATCATCATCATCATCATCATCATCATCAGCATCATCATCATCATCATCATCATCATCATCATCATCATCATCATCATCATCATCATCATCATCATCATCATCATCATCATCATCCTCATCATCATCATCATGATAATCGCCATCATCATCAACAGCAGCAGCAGCATCAGAATCACCATCATCATCATCAGCAGCAGCAGCATCATCGTTATCAGCATCAGCATCATCATCAGCATCAGCATCACCAT